GAGGATCTGAAATGGATAGAATCTATAGTATAAAATTTTGCCGTTTACTAGTAAAGAAGACAAATCGGAGGGTACATGAAACGACAAAAGTGGGAATCTGATGATGAAACTAATAATCAATGCTATACCACGCTCCTCCATGTTCGCTATTATGACCGAGAGTTCGGTCATAAAAGGTTCGCTTTTCGCAAGAACATACACACAATCCATGAACCGTAGATACTGAAGCCTTCTGAGAAGATAGGGAGTACGAGGTACAGACGGCGTTGTACGAGTCTCTGGAATTGACATGTGCTCATATGGCTGACCGAAACACATGTCTCCTTAACGTTCTGCCCATGTACTAAACCTTTTAGCCGAGTCTTGCACTTCACCCTTTGGGTAAAGGAGCGTGCATATGGCCTGACCTTGTGATCCACTGGCAAAAGGTTTGTGATGTAGTGCAATGGTGCACATGAGGAACCAAACTATCCGCATGGCCCGAGAGATGCCGCCGCATGCCAGGCTCGTGATATTTTGACATTTTTCCTTCATATCGTGCAACTTTTATTTTCGAAATAACCAATCATAACAAAAGGTTATGCAGACCTTTCATTTATTATCATGAGGGACTGGGGCGGCGCTATTGTGTTTTCCCTTTCGTTTCATTTGGAGCAATCCAAAAGACTCACTTGTGCAAAATGCGAAAAGGTACAAGATGGTTGTCATTCCCTGTATTTCAAAATGTTTTAAATCGATTAACCAATAATTAATAGTAAACACCAAAAAGGGTTTGGGCTCTAGTAGCCTTGACTTAGAGAAATGGAATCGCACAACTAAATCAGTTCTGCTTGGTCCGGATTTGCTAAACTCTATACCTGGCCAGGACTCCCGCAGCCGCAAGGATGGATGAACTTGAGCTGGTAATGGTTTATTTCTCACTTGGAAGATATCTATGCAAACGACATTTGGTCCCAAGTACATGTGAGGTCGATATGTGTCGTAGAATCAAGAAGAAATAAAATTGAATGATGAATTTTCGGTCAATGAGCAGCCAGATTAATTTTATGATTATTTATTACCGTACTTACATAGAAGCAAGTTCAAAATTTCTACAAGCTAATAACATCCTATGTCTAGCTCGAACAAGAATTTTTTATTTGCAGCTATGATCTGTCATATGCATATAAATATGAACATTTTAGTCAGTTATTATGTTACATGATTAAACAAGTAAAATTTCAATAAGAATAATAATATATCAGTATTGATGAGATATACTGCATACTACAATACTGTATAATTGGATATTGTACCTTGAATATGTACTCAGTACTTGAATGAAAGTATTGATCAGAAGCTAAGATGGATAAATGTGTACTCTAACATCACCTTACCTTGAACAGTAAATGATTTTTTTCAACAGTCTTTGTGTTTTATGTGACTTTTTTTTTCTCTTTCTCTCTTCCTCCACACATGTATCCTTGTAAAAATAATAATTGAAAGATTATCTCGTTTCTTATACTCTAAAGACATTATATCAATCCCAGCTATATACATTTTGTAAATAATAATGAAGAGTAAATCTCAAACATTTGCGTTATAGATCAATATAAGGTCACAGTTAGTGCAAATCTACAGTTTTTATTTGGTTTTTAGCTAGGTATTCGGGCCAAACTGTCCCACGGAGGACAGAAATGCTACCACAAAGACCTAGTTAGGGAAATCCGACCTGGCCGATAAAAGTTCATCAGGTGCTTGGAGAGATTTTAACGCTTGAATGGTGAGAGAGTTCAAGAAATGATGAATGAGTTCACATTCGACAATTCTGGTCAGACGACAATTTTGCAAAATTATATTTCTGCGGATTGCTATGATGAAACAAGCTTTATAGTAAATTTTCAGCTTTATCAACACAGTGGATACATAGTGGATTCTAAGGTGCAAGTGTTTGGAAAAATGACGATCAACCTCTTATCTTGTGTTCGCTTTGGACCAACGACGATTTGTCAAGATCATGAGAAGAAAAACTGTAGTTGTTGGCGTTTGCCTAGAGTTGTGGGATGAGGTTTGCAGGTAAAATGAAGACTTAATTGGCTGATGAGTACATCCTCAGATGTTATATGGAATCTCATGATCAATTGTTTTAGTTTGTGATTATTGCGCAAAGAAGTATGGGCATAACCAGGATGGTGTGATAATGCACTCTTTGTTTACACTCCAGTCAAATGATTTGATCGAAGAGGAAAGAAGAAAACAAACGGGTATATGATTAATATAATTCAAAATTCTTTTTTTAATGCATCAAATATATATTGAATCAGATTTTGTACGAACCAAAACAAAAAAAATATGCAACTCTACATACATAGATCATCATGATTGGAAAAGCCACAATTAAGAGGAGAAATATCTTCATCCAGCATATACAATAGCATGATGCACAATTGCAAGCATAGAAGAAAGAAGTGTACATCAGAAGTAGGATAGATTTTTTATTTCTGGTCTTAATTAAATACTAGACTAAACTAATTATATTTGATGGAATTCAGAAGATATTGAGCTGCTTGTGAATAAGATGTGGTGGCAAAACGAATATTTAAAAAACGATTTCTCATTCCTTGACAACAAGTAGTATCAAAGGTTGTTTGTGTTGAAGATCCTGATCCAGTGTCTTCTTTAGAGTTGGAGGAGTAGATTGAAGCAACAAATCATTTCATTGATACTTTCAATTCGATTGTCATCAATATAAACGAATGTTTCTTAAAAATTGAGTGCGCAGTTTTTTTCTTACAATAAAAATAGTATATTTCATAGAAGAAATATAAAATTTTTTCACTCAAATATATTACACATTTTGAATTAGTTTATTCATATTTTTTGTGCAATGGCAGATATCACATTATTCTTATATAATATCTAACTATTTATTATTCTAATTGGCAATGAATCATATGCATTCATGTTGCAGCTAATATTTCATCACATTCATTCACATATGGTAAAGATATAGATATATGGACCAAAACAAATGAATATTTTTTTGATGTAAAGAGAGTAGTTTATAAAAATGAGATAAACTTGATATAAAGTTCAAAAGTTTGAATGTTTTTTAAATAACAAGATAATGATACTTGTGCTTGGTTTTGAAACAAGCACTAGTATCATTAATGATTATCAGTATCATAATGAAAGTATAGAGTTGAATCAAATTGTGAAGTTTTCAAATTAGATCATTAGTTGACATGTGCTATGATGATAATATGTTAATTGAAGAATTAGGGTGATGCATGATGAGAAGATCATATGAGATGAAAAATAGGTTGACAGACATTTAGCTGTCTCTGAAATTTTACAAAGATTTAACTGAAGAACTTGAGAGTAATAAAAAACGATCACACTGTATACATGAAAGATAATGTTATTTGAATGCATTAGAATCTTGGCTTGCAATTTGACACAACTGATTGATGTAGACAGCAATCATCCTAGAAGCTTGATTCAATTATGAAATGTCATGTTACACTTGAGAAGACTAAGTGAGAGCATTCTTAAAGCAATAAATCTTTTACACCCAATTTCGTTTTCCATTATGAGAAGCCAACCAACAACTAGTTCTTGATTAAACAAAACCTGATCTATCCTCTAGAATCTGACTGCTAATTAGTTGAAAACGTGATTTTTTCCTTCCATGACGAGTAGCTGATTAAGTGATAACATGATGCTAGTTATGAAACTTGACTAGAATCAAGGAGACTATTTTTTTGAAAACTAAATCTACTCTATTACACATAAACACTTTAACAACTCTATGAAGCCACTAAAATGCTCATCACAAGCCCGTGCCAAGACTAACATGATATGCTAATAACTTATGTGAAGGTGATTGGCTTCATCTATCTGCAGCTAGATGTGTGAAAAAGGTTGGGTGCATTGTTTCGGGAGGGAAGGGAGTTGAGTTACATTTGGATGTGTATAGAGAATAGATTGCTTTCATCGATGTGCTTGCTTTGTCAATTAGCATAAAGGTAACATGCTTAGATTATATCTTACATCAGATCTAGACAGATGACGGCCAGTCGAATCTAGATATAAGATACTGAATTGATCCGGTCGATCAAAGAAGTCTGTTATCTCGTATTAGACATGGAACAATAATGTATGACCTCGTTTTTCGAGAAATATTGAAATACAAGAGGCAAATAATTATAAGAAGAGGCCGGCCGAATGAATAGCAAGAATAATGAGAAGATCCATTAATAAAGAGGATTTATTGTGTCGTCTTCGTATAATACAGTGACAGTGATGAATTAGCATGTTCCAAAGTATCCAATTTTTTTAATCCAATTTTGCTTACAACAAGATGATTACACAGTGCTCTGCATCAAAGTCTTGCGTTGAGTTTGACAACTGTACCCATAACCGACCCACAGTTGTGGGGTGGAGTGCATCCACCCACATACATACCCAACTTGTCTATGTCCATTATAGATACAACTCATGTCCATCACCAAAATAAAATTACTTAAGTAATTTTCAAGTGGTTTTAAAAACAATTAAGGAGGCAATAATTTATTTACAATTAGCTATAAACGTCACATTTGTATCTAAAGATTAGAGCTCAAACACCCATGGGTATTGGGTACCCATCGCAGACTGTGCTTTGGATAGAAAAATATAAACTTAAATAACTGAGTGATAGAGGTTATGATGAGGGACAAGGAGTTACAGTAATGTTTACAGGACAGAAGATATTCACCTTACGGTTTGGATTATAGCGGGACTATGTCATAAGTGCTACATGGTCGTAGTAGAATCTCCACTTGGTGACAAAAAAATCCACGACACTTGTCATAGGTCCCACCACCGATTGGTTCGGTGGTGTCTGCTAGTGTAAGTTCAGACAGTGGTGTCCGAAAGTTGCGGTACGGAATGTGAGTGGTGGAGCATCCCGAAAGAGATGGCGAACTGCAGATTCATGATTACCTGAGAGCAGGAAACTGGACACCCCAGCGACTGTGGGCATGTGGCAGAGTCCCCCTTGGAAAGAACTTTGAAATTTGAGTTCTCAGTCGAGTCCCAGTGATTGATACATATAGGAATTGTTGGCACCATGGAGCTGAATTTACATAGTTCAGGGTCGAATTCGTTTTCTGTGTCGTGGCGCGGTGTGTCACAGACAGCTTGTCAAGCTTTGAAGTAGCGAATTTCTGCTCATACGGAGAGCAGACTCAATTCTGCGAATTTGGTCGGGCGTCAGCAACAGCGCGTGTTCCTGTAGTCATCGTCAAATGGTACTACTCGCTGTCCGGCTTCGTGGGTCTAGAACATAGACAATGCTCGTGTTTCACGAAGTCCGCTCCTCTAGATCAGCAATTTATATGAAAGCTCAAATTCTAGCCGGGATCGCCGTTAGCAGCCGATTACAAACCACATTTGTATATGATATATGCGGAATTTCGATGTTTGCGTATGACTTTCGAGAACTAGTGGGGTTAGAAGTGGAACGCTGAAGTGTTGCATTTCTGGCCACAGCTTACATGAACTGAAATTAAGGTGCGGGCTACCGGAGACCGTCGACTGCGTTGAAGTCAGTACGTTGTGGCAGATCGTTGGGAGAAGAGTAGGGAAGAGAAGATGATGGTGGAGGGCTGGACCTACGTGGGTTTGGGAACAGCACTGCTGGCGGTGGTTCTGACGGTCGTAGCTCGGAAGTATAACGAGTGGACGTGTGCAGTGCGAGTAAAAGCAGGGGAGCCGCCACTTCCTGCTGGGTCTATGGGATGGCCTCTGCTCGGAGAGTCCTTGCATTTCATGACTTGTGAATATTACGAAATGTATAAGCAGAAATTCTCAAAGTACGTCGTCGTCCTAGCATCTTCATCCCACTCGATTTTTTTGGCTTTTAGTCTATCTTCTGATATTGGAGTAATTTGTTGTGGATTTGCGAATATGGAGCTCATGAGAATAACCATGCGAGCTCTGTCTTTGTCACGGGTATCGTACTGCATGACATAGAGGGAGTTGACATGGCTGGCAGGTATGGGAGAACATGGAAGACTCATTACTTTGGGAGCCCAACCATTTGTACTTCTACGGCAGAAAGTGCACGACAGGTGCTGATTGGCAAGCAAGGTCTGTTCGAGGCGTATTATCCAACTTCCATGAGTCAGATATTGGGTCCTAATAACTTCATGTTCCTAACTGGAGCTGATCACATGAAAGTCAAGCGATTCTTTCTGGCGGCCTTACGTCCAGAATCCATCCGCTCCTCTGTGGGACAGGTCGAAAAGACGGCCATGCTCTGTATGAAGGATTTGGACGGGAAGACCATCTCCGTCTTACGTGAAGCTCGACTGGTTTGAGTCTTTCAACTTTCTGATTTCTGATTTCGGCAGTACTTTCTGATTTCGGTTCTACCAGACATAAGTACATGCTTGAAATTCATGCTCTGCAACATATTTTTACCAGCTCTTTAAATTTGCTATTGGAATTCCAAAGGTGCCACGGTATAGGCTCTAAACTCACACTCACATATGGTGTTTTTTGCAGCTGATGTGGTGATGAACCAACACTAACACTTGCACTCCGACCTGCAGTTTTCCTTTAACGCTGTCATTAGTCTGCTATTTGGGGAATCGCCATCTGAAGAAATGGACAAGTTGTGGGAGGAATTTGGTCTCCTGGAGAAAGCCATCTTCAACTTGCCCATCAATCTACCGGGGACTGCCTTCCGCAAGGGACTCCAGGTTAGGATGGATCAGATGGCGTTCGCGGCTTTGATATTGTGTTCCCAAGTCGAACTACGCAAGTACTTGGATGGAAAATGTTTCACCCTCTCTGTTACCTTCTGAGTCTTATCGAGTATACTTGTAATGTAGAGAAGGTTCGTTCAAAGGTTCTTGTTCAAAGGTTCCTCTGATGTTAAAATATTGTGACATCTAGCGGACGAATGGATCAATTGGTGAGACTAATCAGATTTGAAGATCTTTGTATTATTATTATTATCATCATCATTATAATTACTCTTACTGAAGGATTTATGCACCTCTGTGGACTGCTGCAGGCCAGAGAACGCATCGTCAAGTTCTTGAAGCAAAAGATCGAGCAGAGAAGGTTCGAGATCGGAGTGGCACATCATGACGTGATGGATCTCATGATGAAGAGTATCGACGGTGAGACTCTATCGGACGCTGAGATCATAGACAACCTTTTGGCAGGTTTGTTCGCTGGACAAGACACCAGTGCAACTGCCCTGCATTGGGCTGTATACCACCTGAGCCAAAATCCAGAGGCCCTGGAAGACTTGCGGGTGAGAACCTTGTCTCTGTTAACCACAGTCGATTTCATAGTTCGTTTTCACCGACTGGCTTTGTAACTAACTGTGTGCAAGTTTCACTTACCCACAGGACGAGATGGATCGGATCCAAAGGAGTAAGAGGGAAGGCGAACCCCTGAACTGGGATGATGTAAAAAGTATGCCTATGTCAAGTGCGGTGAGGACCTGTTGCAAGACACTTTTTGTAGAATAGTGAAGATTTTGAAATTGGTATGTCGTGGACGACGAATGAGTTCGGTATTGCAGTGGAGTGGAGCTGGTTATTGTGTAGTACGTACCATCGGATGTGAGGTTGTTGGTTTCTTGCCGAAAACAGAGTGAATGATGCCGTTTGCCATTGATGCAGGTCTTGAATGAGTCCGTTCGTCTCAGTGTCTCAAGTTACCTCATGCGCCAGGCGCAGACTGATGTGGTCATAGAAGGTGGGTTACAATTGCGACCATTTCGTGCCGTTGAGGTGAGGTTTTAAAGTTTGAGATGCAATTCTGATTGGAAGCATCTCATGTTTCGCTTTCAGGCTATACGATCCCCAAGGGTTGGAGGGTCGTTACATGGTTACGTTTCTTCCACACAGATCCTGCCAACTTCAAAGATCCACTGGCATTCAATCCTCGTCGGCATCTGGTATGTACATTGTACTTTACTTCATATTGGTGAATCTAAATTTTCTAGATGCACACACAGTCAACACTCACTCTTGTACAAAAACTGATCTAAGTAATCTTTTCTGAGGAACTATGGAGAAACGAAACCTCGGAATTATTGCTCAGCTGAAATGGGTTCATCAAAATTTAGAGCAGAGATTCTCCAATGAACAAAGGGCATTTGAGAGGCTGACTATCTGCCTCTAACTTCACTCTCTCATTCTTGTGAACTTCCACCTCTGCCTTCATCATTCTCACGTCTCAGTCCCTTGGTCAATCATCGTGCATATTCCACCCACAATACTAGTGCTCACTTCCCATCGATAATCCTTGTCCCCACGGGTGTTGCAGTATCAATTCTGGAAAGAATGTACTTGACCCGAAGGATGCAATCATCTGAGTCCGAGCTCATCTAAGTGTGCACGGTTTTAGATCCAGAGTATCAGCTTGGCACTGAATATATTCCACACGGTTCTCATCAGCGAATTCCATGCTCATCAAGAGGTTGATATTTCCTAACACCGCTCACAAAGTTTGACCTCTAATGCAGGAAACGCCAAAACCACAAAATCTCCATATCTTTGGGGCTGGAGTCCGCGTTTGTCCCGGTGTCGACTTTTCTAGACTCGAAGTAGCTGCGTTTTTTTACCATCTTCTTACCAAATACACGTGAGTATAAAGGTGCAAAGGTGTCATCTTGTCTTTACTGTTCTTGAGATAAAACTTCATTAGAAATGTTCAGTTATCTAAAGTGGACGGCAGATGAATGCAACCTCCGGAAAGACCTCAACTCAAAGTCTTTGATTATCTTGTGATGCTGGGCTGCAGGTGGGAGGTTATTCCAAACCCGAAGAGGAAAATAGTTACGATGCCTGTACCTCACTTGAGCGACGGTCTGCAGATACGTGTCCACAAAAGGATGAACAAGCCAGAGTACACGTAGAATGTGGAAGTAAGGATCTCGACAACCAGTCTAAGAATGACAAGGTTTATTTCCTTCGGACTTTGTAGTCCCGTTTCACATGCTGTGGTCAGAATATGAACCCCCGCAGGGCTTATGTACATAAGTTGCTCCGCGTGAAGAAATACATTACCATCCATTGTACAAAACACCGTACCGACTAGATGCTTTGGACATATGTGCAGTCGGATAGTCTTACAAGGCAGGCAGTAAGGTCAAGGAAATTGGTTTCTTGTGCACTTGTGATACTACATGACATTCTGGACCATTCGTTGCATAATGGCGTTCTCAAGGTAGTCATAAAAAACTTCTTGGTACTCCTCAGTAGGCCACGCTGAATATTGAGTTTACTTTGACGACTTTTGAGATGGTCCGAATCAATTGAACGGATTCGTGAGACATGTGAAGTGTAATCTGTACATTCGAAGATGATTTTGATAGACTCGGAATCCAGCAAGTATTCCCAACTGTTTTGCAAGTTCAAAACTTGGTCACATCATTCTCTGTCCCCTTTCCTGCCTAAACCCTGCTCTTTATAAGAAGGTTCGACAAATCCTACAAACCAACCTCACCAGTTCTCAGGAAGTAGACAGGATGGCTGCTTTTCGCGACGCATGCAAAATAGTCTCTCTATATCCTTCTCAAACACACCTGACCTCCCAAGCCCTGAGGGTTGGTTCGGTTCTGTGCCTTCAATGCCTTCTTTTGCTTCTTGTGTGTCTACCTCGCCATCCAAGGAAGGAAAAGTATTGACGCAGTTGCATATAAAATCAGACTTGCGGAGTAAAACCTGCTACGTGCCGTTTGCAAAAATATTAATTCAAACCACCTATCACGGATTTCCACTCAAAGTGATCCTGGTCAGGGCCATAAAACTCCAGTTGATCGTCGTTTACCACATGATAACGCAAGCGTATATAATAAATGGTGGCCATATAGACACCCAAGTGTATAAAATTGGCCACGTGGGTTAAAAAAGAAGCTTATTATTGAATACGAAATAACGAACAAGATAAAACAGCCACTCCAGTAATTCTTTCTATAACGCTTTTCTAAACGAAGCCCAAATAAAACAAAGAGTTGAAAGAAATCCAAATTGAACAAATAAAATAAAGCGGCAATTTTGGTCTTTTCGAATAGATATATAATTATAGAGACAGTTAAATATTATGTGAATTGTGGAGGCGACCAAGAGGAAGAAGAGCAGGAACAAACTTAAGGGTACTGTTGCGGTCACCTTTTCGGAGTGAGCTGCAACGACCTGCCGCTATGAAACCTATTAGGCGGTGCAATATCTCCAGCACCACCTTCTCAGTTCACACGGTGTAATTTCCAGCAATGAACCATAGGACGATCAAAGTACAGGGTCTATTACAGTCTAAGCCGCATGTACAATTGCTAGACTGTGCCTACTTCAAGTATATCTCAAAGTTGTGCAGCCAACTCCGCAAAGAGTTCACTTCTGCCACACAAAAATGTCCATTATTGCCCTCTGGCCCTCTGGGACAGCACGGAATCCAGCGAGAATTTGATTAGCAAGGCGTATGAGATGCACATATGGATTAGTTTTCCATATGTGCATTCGTGAATCCATGGATTCATCCATTCATCTTCGATTTCTCTTTCGAAAGCTTTGTCCCCACGTTGTTGTCTGTAGTACTGCCAAAAACAATTCCAGTGTCCAGGATTTGGGACCCCTGGGATGGAAACGGTGCAAAGAGTCACTGATGCATGCCCGTGAAGACAATAGAGGCTAATTGATAGGATTCGATAGCCCGAATGAAGCCATGCAAGCCGAATCTGAAACTGAGGTTGGCTTATTCCAGTCTCGTCAAGTCTCAAAGGCCCTTGGCCGCCGCCACCGCTTACTTGATCTAGCCAAAAGTCTTACTTGGTCCGTATATGAGCAGTACGATGAGGACCTTCGACGGCCTAAGGCATCAGAGTGGTCAGGCAGTCCAGATCCAAAGATCTTTGGATCTGGGCAAAACCTGAACTTGACATGCGCAAGAATATAGAATCAAGACTTAAATAATCCGAAGATGGTTACATGGCAAGTTCTGACCATAAAGTAGAGGAGAATGGACACTATTTGGGGTGACGCTTCAAGCTGGGCTCAAAAGTTAATGAACGGAATTTGGAGTCTTACCTCAATCCTCAATTCTGTAAAGTTGATGGATCTTTATTATCAGGAGAAAAAATCTTGTTTACACAAAGACGTTTCACGTTCAGTATCCGAAATCCTAAACCCTAACAAGACGGATCTTTACTATCAGGAGGAATAATATTGTTTACAAGAAGACGTTTAACGTTCAATATCCGAAGTCCTCGCCTAACAAGACGGATTTTTATTATGAGGAGAAATAAACTTGTTTACAAGAAAGTATTTAACGTTCAATATCCGAAGTCTCTCCTAACAAGACGAATGGGTTTACCATGTCAATTTTCGTCCCTCCATGTTAAAAAATCTCTTCCCCCATTCCCTTGCAGAAGCACGCGCCAGAAGTTGAAGGAGACTTGTCGTAGTCTCCGGAACACCATACGAAAGGCGGATACCTCCGTGGTAGAAAGCCGCCATCGTCCGTCGTTCCTTCGCAAAAGCAAGCGCCAGAAGGCGACGGCGATCTCTAGAACCTGCCCCAACAATACATGGACGCACATCGTCTTCGTGATTGATGGCCGACATACTTTGCATACTCCTCGCCGAAACAACACATGGACGCACATCGTCTTCGTGGTTAACGGCCGACATTGTCCGCATTTCCCTCGCCCGAGCAGGCGCCACAGCGCTTAGGAGATTACTGTTAATTTACTGAACGGTACATACATCTGTGCTGATCCCTTGGCGCGAGGTGGGTGGGTCGTTGGAAGTAAGTGTACGCAGTGTATACGTAACAAGTAACTGAGAATTACAATTAGAATCGGAATGCGAAACGGACCGAATGGCAGTTTCCGGACGCAGCGGGATGGCCTGTCTTTCGAAGGAAGAAATGCCGAGATGGCAGGGTGAGCTGGTTGAAGGTTCGCGTTCTAGGGTTGACGGAGCTGGTTTGGGGTTGGCGTTACTGGACTAGAGCTGTTCTAGGGTTGATGGCGCCGTCGTAGTGCAGAAGTTTTAGGGTTGACACTGCCGTCGTAGAATAGGGGTATTAGGATTGACAGCGTCGTCGTAGGGTTGCTGTTCTGGTGTTGACGGAACCGTTTCGGTGAAAGGGTTTCAGGATTTTCGTAGCGTGTTCTACGCTTATCGTCGCTGATTTAGGGTTAACGTTCCAGGGTTGACGCAGTGGATTTTATAATTCTCATTTTCATTTCCACATGTCTAATCTACTTACCATAGTTATCTTCTATTTCCATAAGTCTGCCACACAAACTGATTAGATTAGCAGTTGCGGCTACTTACGTACACTCGGATGACAGGTGTTTACTTGTCATATTCTTTCGATTTAGAAATATGTCCTACTGCGTTACATATCTAAGCAATTGTGCTTCGAATACCAAGACTCTGTACTGGTCACTAATCCAAACTTGTCAGGAGAACTATACGAGGTTAAAATTGAGGTTGTAAACTTGAGTATTCAGTTAAAAACAGATAACTACCGTCTCATTACATAACACAATACCGTCTCAGTGAAGGAGAGGGAACCCAACCTAGCCAGGCCACGAACGGGACTAGTCAGAACACGATCCATACTTCTTCACATTTCTCGGGCAAATCCTCTCGCAAGCTTACCCGAAAGAATTGTTGGCAGAGCGACGCCAGTCTACAAGAAACTCTCTTGAACACTCACCTTCACTTGTAGAACTTATGGATGAGATTGGATGAGTGACTTCTCTTATCCCGCTGACATGAACAGGCAAAATGAAATATTCTTTCCTCAATAGGATACTACGTTCAGGACACGACCGTGTCAATGTCGGAACCCTCCCCCGGTTCGCCCTGTGTCTCTCCTCTTACCTGACATATTACATTTCACTCGCGAGATGTAGTAGCACTCTCACAGCGTTCCGCAAGCCTACTTTCCGCAATATTAGTCCATTCCTTGATTTCCTTGCTTCCTATTTCCGACTAAGATTTCCGTCCCACATCGACTCTCACAACATTCGAATAACAGTCCAGCACATGACACCGTTCATCCCTCCAGCACACGAAAATTGTCAAGAAAAAAATATCACCTCCACTTCGGCTTCACGTTTCGTCACGCGATATGAGATCTACTTTGAAACTCTAACTCTGAGGCCTCTCAAAACCGTAAGGACATCATCAAAGACGATCATTGAGTTAGCAAATGAAGGGCAGAATTGAGACTCAGGCATAGAATATCCCTCGAGGTCAGCACAAACTTTAATTCGATGTGTGAAGTATGTGTACTCCAATAACAGGTAGGACATGCTCTCACACGGCCTCAGTGTCTGGCAAGTGCAGGTGCAAATTCTTGACAGCAGACTACGGACGTCCATTATTTGAGCTAGACGGTGCGTGTACTTAATGATTGAAATAAGAACAGTAAACTTCCTTACTACAAGTGGAAACTAGAGAGATAATGTGCATTTCAAACGTTCTTGGTGCGGTGCAAAAATCATTCACATACTGAATTTGTGGAATGACCTACGGCCCTGATGCATTCTCATGGAGCGAAGTGATGGGGAGAAAACTTACTCGATGGCCAAGGATAAGGGCCGAAACTCTTCCGACTTAAATTTCGTATATGGTTGGCCAGGCCAGTGTGTATCAACAATAGATCTCTGCTTCTCTCAGGGTTTCTACCCTGCTTGAGTACTCAGTGAATTCGGAGTCCACACAGGCGTAGTGCAATGATATTATCAAAAATTAAATAGAGACCAGATACTGGATTTGAACATCTGCGCTACAGTGGGCTCCTCGCCCTCTAGCTGGTAGCAACTCTACGAGTGTTTCATCGTAACCGCTACTAATAACCTGTAAACGGTCACAATAACCATCGCATGGACGTGTAACAAGTCACTCCCTGAGCCAATGCCGTTCCTACCGAGTTCGGCTTCACAACGGCGACTAAAGGGTCCTACAGCTGTTTGTCCAATCAAAGGTCGTGTACGGTCAAACCTGTCGGAAAGATCCATAGTCTTCGTTAAAACACTCACAAATAAGAATTATTCCAGAAAGTCATCAGCACATCCAGGAGCAATAAGCCGGTAAACAATGTCTGTAAAACATCAATTAGTTTGTGCAGTCAAAGGACTCAGTTTAGAAGTAAAGAAGTTTTGAAATTGGTACCTGGGGGTAGAGATTGCTTGAGCTTGTCGGCTTTATCGTGATCGTGGACACTCAAAGTGTAGAGGTACCTCTTGCATCGGACTTTGAACTTAACGACGTCCTTTCCTCTTTTGATCTTGACGGAGCGGGCGTCCTTACGCCGCGCCGTCAAGAGAAAGTCCTTGATTTCACTAATTTGCTTCGGCTGGAATAATAGAATTTTCAAAATTAGTAGTGTGAAGAGAATCTCTCCTCCCAGATGCAAATAGATTGTAACGGACTGAATGTGTGTAGTCGACAAACACAGCTCATGTCCTCAAGAAAATACAGGTCAAAGATCAGGCACTGCGAAAAACCATCACCATGACCGATATGTGTTTACTCTTCTACTTAAAAGCTCCGCAATGCCTGAAATCAGTCGAGTATGATAAGTTCACACGGCTTTACGAGGGACCTACCGGAACTTACGAATTGAGCTCAGTAGATAGCACCAGCCAGAAATTCTAGTTCAATTCTAGCATGAAACGAATCTAATAACAAGGCATCAATTTGACTATCAATGCAAGGTGGTATGCAAATGAAAACTCAAGAACTCGGCAAACGATGTCAACACAGAGCTCGAAACAAACACAACTGGGAACAGTTGACGTTCTTTCTTCTTTGAATATCGCTAAAAATCAAAACGAGGTAAGATTATGGTGTCATACCATGACTACAAGCGTGACAGAGAATTCCGATACCGAAATGAAAGAGGCTCGAGAACTCGCCCGTCGTCGAGATATCGAGGAAAGAGAGAGTTCCGAAGACGAAAGAGAAGGAGAAAAGAGAGCGGCGAGCTTAAGAAAACCCTAACCCTAGAAGGGAGTTTCTTCGTTTAGCGGATGCCGGATATCGTAACCTGACAATACTGCAGATAAACGCAGACGCTTCTGCTGTTCCCCAATGATTTGCATCTGAAGACTGAATCCGATGCCGTATATCAACAAATGGGCACCTCTTTAGCCGCGTTCTCGAGACGCAATACAGTGTCAAAGGCACGCGTGAATTTATGCTTCAAAACCTGGATGAATATTTTTTTGCATTTAAAATATGGGAACACGCATCATGCATAAAACCAAACGTACTAAGTGAAGCTAGTCCTCACTACCATACGAATGAAGATAAACTATAATTAATCATAAAAACATCATGAAACAAGAATGGTATGGTAGAATACTTATATATCTGTGTATTTGTTTAAGCTCCGACGAAATACAAAACAACACTCACGAAGCGAGAAAGATTAATTATTTTTTATATTTGTACATCTTCAGTCTTCACAAATTTAGTTTTGATCTATTTTTTAAAATATGGATAAATAATTTCAAATCACAATATATACCACAATAGATTAGTCATTCCAATCAAGAAAATTGTTGGTCTATTTTTTAAAGTATGGATAAATAATTTCAAATCACAATTTTATACGACAATAGATTACTCATTCCAATCAAAGAAATATATGTTTTTTCTGTACATTAGATATTCTTTTGTACTTATTCATATGAGTCCGCAGTTTTTTAACAAAATGGTGAGTATCAAAATTTTTGAGTTTTATTACAAGTCAAAATCAACATGGTCATTTAGCGATTGTTTTCAACTCGTTCGCACGCGATGACGGATCTACCATGCTATAAAACACGTTGAAGGGTAAAGAGTGCCCCCTAGCTTGATTAATCAGTTGAGATGACAAATAAGTGAAACATCTTAGCTTCTACATTTCAATTTCAAGCTTGATAACACTCATCATTGTGTGAGAGATCACATCACGCTGATACATATCAAGGTCATTAGTGCCATGTTCAGATTCATACTACTCGGATTCACCAATAAAGTCCAAAACAACCGTATTCATATCGTTGTCAATTTTTTCAAACAAATTTATTTGATACATTAGCAAATTCTTATTGTCATCATTCAAACATTTATTAATCGGTTATAACATCAATCTCACTGTTTTCACCAAGGAGTTTATAGTTGCGTAACAATTCAACAATTTTAATAACAATGACATCATTGCAATAGGTATTATACGCGTTGCCAAATTCAAGAATAATTTTTGCTTTTTGAAAGCAATTTTTGAGACTATCATTAGAAATGTCGTTTCAAGCAACATTTGTAAATTTTGGAGCATTAAGCAAATGTGGAGATCTTACATAAACATTCCCGGCGTCGCCTTATTTGAGTTTCAAAGCTGCTAATGCAATTTGGTCTTTAAGTTCTTCTTGATCATCATAAAATGAGACGATATTTTTTAGCAAAAGATATTTGTTTCGCTTTTTCACAATTGCGATGATACCCATATCCATTGATTTGTTCCAAGAGATGGCATTAGGCGGAAAAAAGTCAACACGAATGTCATTTTGCTCGAAATAGTAGTATGATCAGGAGCATTGTCAAGAAGCAACAACACTTTGTGTCCTGGTTGTTGGCAAACATAAGGCTCAAAGACCTCATCAAACCATTTATTGAATGTCGGGACATCGATCCATGCATCTTTTTGGTGAAAATAAAGAATGGATCAAGTATTTTCGGCAATGTAGGCAGGCTGCTTCGCCTTTCCAATCATTGTGATCGGAATTCATTCTTTTTCAAAGACTTTACAACACACCATCAATGTTACTCAGTCTTTTCATGCTTTTTGACTGAAAGAGTGTTCTGATCATCATGAGGCATTAGCGCATTATATCGTGGAACAACACTAAAGAAGAACCGAGTTTCATCCATGTTGTAAACTCATCCAATATCATATTGGTCAATCAAAACAAACAAGTTTTCAGCTTTCAATGTTTGTGGATTGTTTTTGTTTACATCATCACATTCTCCAAACAAATTTACGTTGATTAAACCGTGTTGATGTCAAAATCTTGCAAACTAGCTCCATGATGCATTGAATTTATCATCAGCAATCTTCATTGCAGTGGCAATTTGTTTTGCTTTGTGGCAAATAATATTATGAATCAAAACAAGCAAAACTTGGTGTACTACATTAATCCATTCAAGAATATATTTTTCAACATCAAGAAACATCGATTGAGAAGCATGGAATGTTGATTCATGAGTGGCTTGGTCGACCCTCTGCGCTAGTTCACGTATATCATCTTTGCTAGACTAAATCTTTAGAATCATTTTTTCATAACATTGAATTGTCGAACAATGCTATGCATTGATGGTGGCTTTGGCGTCTCTAATAAATTGATGTTTTCTATTCGATGACAGTCATGTAGACGCTTGACTTTGCACTTACGCTTAGAAGTTTGTTGTACATTCATTGTATGAAATGAACTAAAAAATCTCTAAAATTGTAATCAGAAACTACTTCATGCCACCTTTCAAATCTCCAGTCACTCTTTTCGTAAGATGACAGGAAAACGATCTCGATTGCTTTCCTTTCAATCTCCAAAATTAGTCACTCAGAGTTTCACAAAACATTCGGTGACGCAGATCTGACAGAAGAAAAAAACACGGCATTCAGCACTTCGTACAAGATCACACTTTTTTGCAATCTCAACTACTTTTTTGTCGATATCTAGAATTGGTCACACAAAGTATCATAAAACATTAAGTTGCGCGGATTTGACAGAAGAAACAACATTGTATTTAGGTCGAACAGAAACACACTAACTCGCGGATCTGACAGAAGAAAAAAAACACATCATTCAGGTCGTACAAGAACACAATAACTTGCAGGTAGAATAAATGTAAATTCTTGCTGATAGGCCAAAGTAGTCTCAAGCACAAAGTACTCTACAATGCATTTTCTGCAATCAATAGTGCTTGAACAACTTCATATATCGCCACCATAAGAGACAAGTGAAGAAGCGTCACCTTGAATCTTCACGATCATCATCCTAAACCTACCTGTACTTCACGACGTCGAAATCCTAAGTCCGCATCAACCGTCATAGATCATAGTGCGGACTTAAGAAAGATCATATTGTACTTATGAAAAATTATTACATACTTCTTCAATGTCAACTTTTTGTATGGATCTGTGTTGCATTTCAGTTATTTGTACATCCACGAATGAAAAATTAACATTTTGACCTGTACACAATAAAACAACAAGTACATATGATAGAGTAACATCTCTAAAGTTGAATATATATATATATATATATTTCCATATAATAGAGAGGACATGATAGTCATAATACATTGAAAAATATAGTATATTTCTCAAAATTCATAATTAAAGTCAAAGAAGATTTCATCTTAATCTATTCAAATCTTCATGTGATGTATTTCACAATAAGTATGTGGACTATTAAGGTGAAAGTTCAACTAATACACGCAAATCACATCGCACTACACCAAAATCCAAGGATTGATGAAGTGATAAATAGACTACCAAAAGTGAAGTCAAGATAATCGACCTTCATTTGGGATGAACTCTATTTTAATGAAAACAATCTACTTATAGTTACAAACCATCTCGTTACAAGATGCAGTTTTGTAGGATTATTCTTTGCTTCAAGAACAAACACACTGGGTTCTCGTTGTTGAGTGCTTTTCATAATTATCACAAAAGCTCATCATATCATAAGTAAGTGTGCAGACATTTGTGTTCACTAACCACGGGAATAATCATCCATCAATTCACTACATCACAACACAATTTTAGATACTTGTATACACTCCAACATAAAATCCGATTCCATCTCACTTTATCACATCGTCACGTGCCTGTTATATGCTTTATAGCATGAGCAAATACATACCTTATGTACACTAACAAAAATTATATTTACATGTCCTTCCATTGTATCACACAGGCCACATGAAAACCCTTATTTGCAATCACCAGCATATTTTAAATCCCATTGAACTCCCCGACATTATCATATCGCAGCTATGGCACTCTTTTATTGCAATGTATCACCATAATGTACATAGCCGAACCAAAATTTGCTACGAATCTCTAGAGTTTGCCATTAATTTTGCAATTTTCTTCTTACACCAAGACCAACCGGATAACGTGTATGAATCATATGATAGAAACTTACGTCTTCGAGGATTCACAAACTACCACCATTCTTTCTGTTTGTGCAGCAAAAGTGACATCAACTTTCCTTCGTTCGTTTTGGCGTAATTGGAGATACGTTGTTCCAATTTCCGTTTCCGGGCCTGTGCAGAGAGGGTTTCCAGACTTGCGCTCTGTTTTCCCCGTTTTGCGTTCAGGCGTCAAAGCGCTCTCCTCGTCGATCCGCTTCCTTTGGCTGCGCTCGGCTCGCTCTCCGCCCTCACATCGCGTCGATCTCTTCATCACTCTCCGCGATTCTTCCTCCTCTTCGACACCTCGTCCTCGTCCATCGATTCCCGGATCTACGACCTCCGCGTAGTTAGATTCCGCTACATCGCCCGCACGAATGCTCCTAACGTACGATTCCTGTTCGACATTGTACCCTGAACCCACCGTCCTTTTCTTCTTCTTTTTCTTCTGGCTGTTATCCTCCTCCACTTCGTCACTCTTAGACTCGTTCAATTTGTCACATGGGTGAGGGATTCATGTCTCCAGATTATAATATGCTCCGAACGATGGAAAGATGAAAGAATGTTGTCGAGCATTTGCAGAGGAACGAGACGGACCTCAGCGTCACGGGCCGTTCGGTCTCGGTCTTATGTCAGCTGGGACCCGTCTCTGTCTCTGTCTCTCTCGCTACGGACCGACGGACTGCTCAGGTCAGAACACAACTCCGAGAAACTCATAGATAGCATCACACACTTCACTCCACTCATCGGCGATGGCTCAGAGAAGCCAGGTCTTCAGGACGATGAGAAGAGGAGAAGAATTATGGAAATCCCCACATTGCATCCCAACAAATTAGTCATTTGATCAACAGGAGTCTCCGATGCTGGTGACCAAGATCGAACTCCCTCAGGATGCAGTGGAAACTCGACGAAATGAATGCAAGAAGTGAGCCCACTCTCCATCTATCGACCATAACCATGAACGAGATCAAAATCAATGAAGACTTAACAAGCTGCATATCTTTGACCAACACGGTCTCAGTACCGTAAACC